GGTTCACAGACGGAACCCGCCATTACCAGGACACTCAACAGGCGAAGGCCTCTCTACGTCCTGTGATTTGAATTTGAACTGAACCTGACCGGTTTTCGTTGTGCCAATACGCTTATGGTTATTTTAAAGCGGCCACGAAGATGGTTACCCGCTCGCTTCTTATATTGTTTCTTTTGGTCAGCATAAGTGTCGTTTGTGGGCGCAGACATACACTCACACTTAAGGTAAGCGTAATCAACTGGCCTTATACTTTTGTAGAATGATATCAGACGTACCGTTTTATGCAGCCATTTCGGGTTCCTTCGCGGTGCGTATTTGTCAGTGTTCATTGAACAGTTAATTGGTGACCTTCCACGGGTGAGTTTAATAAATGATTTCGGTTTCACTTTTTAACTCTCACCCAATGATGCTTTTTGGGGTCGCATTTCACAATTCTATTTTTTTCATCGCAGATCACTTTCACTCTGGATAAATCAGGGAGCGCCGGAGTGGCAACATATCTCGTGGGTATTTACTCTTGATAATAATATTTTCCTATCAGGAGAGCAATCCGGGGAAGTGTTTCCGCGGAGAGGCAGCCAATTACCTGTATTTGTCCATCGATATGCTAAACAGGTATGTGGCAATCAGCGTTATTTTTTTATCAATGTAGCCAACTGGTTATTCACAATAAAGATCCGATATTGGGAAACTTAATGTTTGAAGCTGGCGTCATAGGGATGGATGATGAAAAACTTAATCGAGTACAACCTACTAGCCTCCTCGAGGCCATCCAAAACGTTTTGGATCTGCTTATGATTGCCAAAGACGAAAGTCGTGATGTGGCGACCGAATTGACACGGGTAAGTTCCGCCGTTCTATGTGGTCTTCAGCTCAAATTCTGCAACCGTTGTGTCTAATTCAATTTTTTTAGTCCAGAGACATTGCAGTTTTTTAGAGCAGACCGTCACCGATCGTAGATACTAGACAAATTACGCTTTCGATAATTAATTGATCAATTAAAAGTGGCATGTGTTCAGTATGACATTCACATGAAAGGACACGTACTGCTGCTGGCATGACTACCAGCTGTCCCCGTGCGTACCTGCATTGATTCATCAACTGACAAAATTGCCTAACTCCTGGTGACTATCCCCACGCGGTTCAATGATTGACCACATCTTCACACTCCGTCAAATTCTAGAACATAGACACTCCTTTCGTAGACCAACCATTTTTATTTTCCTCGATCTAAAAGCGGCTTTCGACTCAGTCGACCGCTCTAAACTCTGGCGCTACCTTTCTCTGAAGGGAGTGCCCGAGAAGTTTAT